ATWTATTACTCCCTAGTTTTGGAAGAGTCAGTGTTTGATCCCTGGCTGCCTTCTCCAAGCTAAACCAGATCCTGTGGGCCTTGCTTGTATCCCTGCTGAAGAGCCTTAGTTTAACTATGGCAACTGCTTTCATATACAGAGTGGTCCTCTTTGATCATCCTTGTTGCCTTTCTCTGAACCTCTTCCAGCTACATGGTAGGGGAAGGGATTAGATACAAAATAGGTGTATACACCAGTACAGTGATGGTCTCCGGTTGGGTTTCCTACTGCTTTCCCTAGCACTCTGTATGCAAGTGTGTGTGCTTCCTTTGCTGCTGCTGAGTGGAGAGCTGATGTTTCCATGGAATTGTCTGCCATAGCCCATCTCTGCATGTGTGAAGTTCARATTGGCTTTCCCATCTGTATTGCTCTGCATTTATCTTCTTAACAGTCACCCAGTCTCTGTCTTTTCTCATAGTAGCCCTTGCTGGCACCACCTTGAATAACTTTGAGTCACCAGCACGTTTCCTTAGGGCACTATCCCTGCCCTCTTCCTCATCAGTTGTGAGTATCCATATGCTCAACAGCATATGAACCAGCACAGGCTCCTGAGGAACTGCACCGTGACCTCCTCCTCTTGCAGGAATGGAATGTTTTCTCCTACCATTTCCTATTTTTAGCCAAATGTTTATCCATGTGAGGACTTTTCTGTGCCATGACTGCTTATGGTTCATGTCATAGCTGCTTACTATACCTGTAATTTCAACAGTTTAGTATATGTGTGAGAACTTCTTCAAGAAGGGGCTTTATCTTCTTTCATATTTAGCTGATACACTGTGGAATGCAGTATAAACACATCATAAATAATGATGTGGTAATAAAGTCTTTAATTCTTCTGTCTGGAATGTAATATATTATGGCTATTGGTCCCCAGATCAGTCACTGTTTATAATAGATGGAATTATTAGTAATTTGCTGTAATTCCATGTAGAGGTTCTGTTGGCAGACTGAATAATGAGTGACATACAGTGTTAGCTCACCAGAACCTCCAGATGGAGTTCCCTGTGCATATTTACTTTGTTAACACATATATTTTATATATGCTCAAATATGCTTATTTCTACATGTGAAATCTTTATATTTCAGAAATGTTTTGTCCCTATGAAAAATGAGCAGGAAGATTGTTATGTGCCAGCAGTGCCATCCACGTGCCAACCTTGTTTCAGGGGAACATCTCTGAATTTCCTACAACTTCCTATTATTTCAAGGAGTAATTTAACAGATTTTTTTATGAAAAAAGGCAAATGTTCAGAAAAATCTCCACTTACCATGTGGGCTTCTCTCTCTCTGCTGTAACTCAGGTGTGATGGCTCTGCTGAGACCTCTTTTGCTGGACGTGGTCCCGACGATCCAGCAGACTGCTGCCTTGGCGCTTGGGAGACTTGCCAACTACAACGATGACCTGGCAGAGGCAGTTGTGAAGGGAGACATTCTTCCCCAGCTCGTGTGCTCCTTGTCTGAGCAGAATGTAAGGCATCCTTTACTCAATAATCACTTTTTTTTTTAACATGAGGAAGGAGAAATCTTTCCTTTTCAACTATCTGTGATTATTCCCGAACTCAGAGACAGCGTGCACGTTTGAACTCCTGAGAGGTCGTGTGTATAGTTTTGACTTTAAATGTTTGACTTTAAAATATTATGTTACCTTTTAGCTCCTTATGTGAAAAATATCCATGGCGTTGTTTTCAAAATGTTGAGTGATACTTTACAAAAGGTCCCCATTYAAAAATGAGATAATTTGAAAGTTGTAGTTGTAATTGATTAGGATTTGATTAGAATTTGTCATTAATACCAAACACTCGTAAAATACATAAAAATGCTGCAGTGGAATACTTAATATCTCCAAACAGAGCCATTTGAAAATCTATAGCATGCAAAATAGCAAACTACTAGCACATGAAAATACAATTAAATGTTTTGATTTTAATGTTTCTTAAAAAAAAAGAAAAAAAAGAAAAAAAAGAAAAAAAAAAAAGAGCCGAGCAGGTAAATCTGATGGTCTCTTCATTTCTCTTCTTGGCATTTTTCTTCTCTTTTTGTATATACTAGTGCTTGGATCTTGAACTAGATTAACAGAAGTGCTTTCAAATACTGTTCTTAGTAATTAGAAAAAGAAAGAAAGCTGAGAGTTAAATGAGTTAAATGTATTGAAACACGRGTTGTATTTTTGATTTATTTGGTTTAGGAAAAGTTGGAATTCAATGGAAATATAGCTTGGAAATGCTATATTGCCGTTTCAGTCTTTTGAGAAAAACATTAAGTACTCAATGCATGTTTTCATTGTTGCATATCTGGTCRATGCTTATACAGTTTATCTTAAAAATATGTCAAAGAAAAACATTAATGTCAAGACACTAATATAGAAGGGAAAGAAAACTGAAGTTTTAGTTAGACAAATTCATAATCATTTTGGTTAATTTGTTTGTATTTTAAAGGGAGGAAGCGAACAAAAGTCTTTATCTTTGTTTGTTTGTTTATTTATTTATTTTGGGGCAAAAATCCCCAACAACAGAGGCCTTACTAAATTGGCCAGAGCACCCTGGTTTCTCTCTTCCATGTTACTGCCTGTGCTGCCGCTGCCTCTGGGAGATGCCGGGATGGGGCATCGCTTGGGGCCGCAGCAGATTCCCGTGAGGACAGGGGAGGCCTCCCGTGCCTTGGGGGCTGAGGAAACCCGGCATCCAGCCCACGCAGAGCTCATCAACGCTTGCAGGTTGCTGCTTCCCATAGGCAAACCAAATATAAAAGGCACATTTCCATTCCACTCACTTTGCGTGTATCAACATCTATAGTTAAAGGGCAGATTCTCTGAGCACACAATAAATACTGATTCCACTGATTTATGAAGAATAGGCACAGGGTCATATCCTGGCTCAATATTTTGTCAATTAAACTGAGCAAAATACACAGCTTTATAATGCATTTGAACAGTGCCTGTGAATATGGCTTGTTTGTAAATAAATATGTTTTGAATAATAACAAAACCCCAGAAGTATTTTCCTTTGCTTGGAGCACAGTCCCTTGCGGGAATAGCATGGCCACATTTGCACAGATGGAGACTGGTGTAAACTATTGTAGCTGCACGGCGTCCGGCGAAGCTTACAGTGACTTGCACCAACCTGGTGTCTGTCCCTCYGTGCAGTTTCCCCAGCTTAAGTTCCCCCTAAATAATGTTTTAATGTTTAATATTTTGTCTGTAAATTATGTTCAATACGCTGAGCTGAATGAGAACACTGGGTTTTTGGCATTAAGGGATTACATCTGTGCTGGTAAGCCAAGCGAGGCCGTGGCAGTGTCGAGCCCTGGGACACGGCTATTCATGCTCTTTAATTGCTAACACGCTTCCTGACGTGGTTTTGGCCCAGGCTCGCTAGCAAGCTCTTAGGCAATGCCCAGTTGTGGTTTAGGGGAGAGTACAAGGCAGGGATGGGTGCCAGGAGCGTAGAGGAGACCTCTGTGCTTTGGGAGAAGCCTGGCTGTGCAGACAYGGAGCGCTGTGTGGCTTCCACGTGGGGCTGGGCACGAGCCCGGGCGCCGGCCCCCATGCAGAGCCCTCTCGTGCTCGTCCCTCGCTGGCTTTGCGGGCAGGTTTCCAAGGGTGCTTGGGCATCTTGTGGGATGCACAAAAGTGCTTGCATGGTTCTTCCTTTCTCTGGATTTGCTGCAAAAGGGATGTGGGGGTTGCAGAATTTAGATCCCTTAGCAGTAGGTATCTTGCACCATAGTGCCGAGGTGCCCTATAGGGAGCAGAGGAGAATGAAGAGTCTTGGAGCGGGCCGAGAACCAGCAGTGACCCCGAGGGAGAGCCCTCGGGCCCAGGTGCCCCAAAACATTCCGGATTCACATCTTAAACTCTTCCCATTGGATCTGATTCTCAGTGTTTGTTTCCTGTTTGCAAACGTAAACAGTGTTTTCTCCTAGGGCTGATATGGTGATGGATGTACATTAAAAATTGGGAAGCCCTGTGAGTRACGCAGATGAGTAGAATTATTCTAGGAGTTTGCCCTATATAACCTGTGTAATCTAGTTAAATATGCTAAGAGGTATTGTTTTTGCAGCTCTTATCATTCCCTACTCACTTAAGCAAACAAATTTATCTAGACTAATATCTTTTCCCCATATCCTCTTAGCTTTATTTTTTTTTCTGTTTGTTTATGCGCTTACTGCAAATTTTAGATCATGAGCCATTTCAGGCAAGGACTGTTTGTGCCATGTCTGGTAGTCCTGATTTGGATCTGTGTGAGATATTGCTACTACTAAAAAAAGTCTAATTTATGCATGTCTGTACTATATTATATTTTGAACTACTTAACATTATTAACAATATATTTTTTTCCTGATTTATGTAGCGTTTCTACAAGAAAGCAGCAGCATTTGTGCTAAGAGCAGTGGGTAAACATTCCCCACAGCTAGCCCTGGCGATAGTTCAGTGTGGAGCACTGGAAACCCTGGTGATTTGTTTGGAAGATTTTGACCCTGGCGTGAAAGAAGCTGCAGCTTGGGCCCTTGGTTATATTGCCCGCCACAATTCAGGTAATGGGTTTCATATGTGTTATCTTTCATCTTCATATTATGTGAAAGTTGTAATAAATTGTATTTTTGTGATTTCAATTGTTCAGAACAAGAKGCTTTTCTTCTGCACTGTCAGGAAATTTCAAATTTGGAATAAGAAACTGCTGTAAGGTTACAAATGTGCYGTGCAGCAGCAGTAGTGGGGAATCATAGAATTATAGAATGCTTAAKGTTGGAAGGGACCTCAGAGGTCATCTAGTCCAACCCCCCTGCTCACACAGGGTCACCTAGAGCACRTGGCACAGGGCTGCATCCAAGCGGRTTTKRAAGATCTCCAAAGAAGGAGACTCCACAACCTCTCTGGGCAGCCTGTTYCAGGGCTCTGTCACCCTCACTGTCAARAAATGTTTTCTTAAGTTCCTGTGGAACTTCTGATGCTTCAGTTTGTAGCCATTTCCTCTAGTCCTATCGCTGGCTGCCACTGAAAAGCCAAGTGACATATCAGACAGCAGCAGTGCCGGAGCGCGTGGGAGATCCTCTAAGAGGACACGCATGGACCTCGGTCCTGAAAATTACATTYTAGTTTATTCTGCTTTGTAAAGAAATTTCAGAATCTGTATACGATGTAGAACTGCTACTGTGGAGCAAAGTTTGTTTTGCTCCAGTGTTAGCTCTTCTTATTTTATATACATAGTAAAAAGAGAGGCCTAAGCAGAACCATGTTTCGTCCGACTGGCAGCTCTGCCTGCAGCATTAACGGTGCCAAATTCATTGCAGTTGCCAGTAGACCACACTCATCTCTGGGAGTCAGGAATAGATCCCAGGAATCTGATATTGAGCAGCCTGCTGCTCTCTCGAGTGGTTATGTAACTYTCTGGTAGTGTCATGTTCCTGGTCAAAAGCTGATCCGCACAGCAGATATAGTTCCTTGGCTAGCTGCTTATATAGCTCAATTAAAAGAGTTTGGAGTTGTGAATCACAGAACTGAGGGAAGAAAGTGCTGGATGGGAAAGTTAGGAGGAATGGCTTTTGTTCAAGTAGCTTAAGGTTAAAATTACTCCAGGGTCACAACATGAGCTGATATACTTATGTCAGGTTTTAGTTTTAAAATATGCTTAGACTGGGTTTGAAAGTAATTTTTTTTTTTTTTTTTTAATCTGTGTGATGTGCTGCACCGTAGAAGAAGATTTGGGGGATTTCCTTGTCCCACTTAGAGAGAGGAGTAATTTGTGGGAATGGACTCCAACATTTATCCTAACGGGTTTCTCTTTTCCAGGGAACACAACTTGTTTTGGGGATGCTTCTGAGTGCTAGAGATCTTTTCCTTTTTGATTGCTAGATCTGAATCCCAGCCTCGATAGAAATTAAGTGTTGCTTCCATCTGAAGTGTGTTTGTTGAAGTGTCATTTTGAAGTGTTCACTTGTATGAATGTATATAGTGTAAGTAAGTGTCTGTGTTACCCTTAACATAAACAGTTCTGTAGTTCTGTTATGTCAGTAAATCAATATTGACTTGCCTCGATTGCCCTTTATGCTGTTCATTGCCTGAATGCCGGCTGATCTTTAGGGTGATCCCGTTCACTCTGTGACTGCCTTGTCTGCAAAGATGCAGCTGACGAAGGGGTGCTGAAGACAACCAGCTCCTTGTGCAAATTGCTATTCCATGGTTGTGAACTGTTTATTCACTGACAGTGAGTGGATGTATCTCTCATGTTAATTTACACTAGCAAAAGAAACAGCAGTTTCCAAAATTAGGTTGAAATTGCACGTGCTGCCATGCTGCAAGCTTCAGGGCGTACGCCACTAGATGTAATCAGTTAAAAAAAAAAAAAAGAAAAGAAAAACAGATCTTCCCCCGCTGCCCAACTGTAAGTCACTTGGGAGATTTACCTTCCTCTAAAACACGGCCACAGGGAGTCTCTTAACTGATGATTACTGGGGGTAAAGAAGCTATATTGGGGAAAAATTACTCCGTACATGGTGTGTTTATTATGTGTTTCTTATACTGCTATATGCATGCCTTTGTAACAGGATATTGCTGGAGATGGGATACAAAGATAGATGGACCTGTTCTTACCAACATCTGGTGTTTACTGTTGAAGAAACACTGGATTAGGCTCACATGCTTGTGTTGGCAGCTCTGATTTTCTCTCATTGACTCTCTGTGGATATGTATTGCAGTCTGAACTCTAAAAATAGAATTGGGTGTGAAATGTTTTCCCCCACCTACAATAGATTTTTCTGATTCAAAATTGTTTCTATTCCAAACTGKGACAAGATAAAGGCAAGATTTTTTTCCCCTCCTGAAGAAAAAGTAAGTGCGTGGGATGTTGCTCCTTTGTCCCAGGCAGGAATAGCTCAGAGATCTGGATCCTTGCCGGGGATGCTGGAGAGAGATTAAAGCCCCAACGTGTTTTGGGCAGGAGGTGTCTCCCTGCAGGCAAGCAAAGGCTCTCAGCAYTAGGTGATGCCTGTTCTGCAGTGGGAGGGTCTCTCTTTGCTTTTTATCAGAAATTCCATCCATGACTCTGTAAAACTGCTCTCAGAGATCTGTGGTGTACATTCCTATTAAAGACTTTCACTTTGTGTTTTTTTTTTTCTTTTTAATGGAAGTTTTCTGGTTAGAAAAAAAAAAGAAAAAAGAACAAAACCCAAAAGATAGTGATCTTCATAATGCAAGCACTTAAAAGGCAGTTCCTTTGGGCAAAGATGTCTCCAGAAATCATTGGATTCCTTGAGATTTTAGGTCAAGACAGATGTCTTGTGAGATTACAGAACATTGGAAATCGTGTCAAATTCTGGATTTTGGCAGCAGTTACGTTACTTGTTTGCAGGTTCCCTTGACTTGAATCTGAGACACTGATGCCATTCCAACATGTACAGATCAGTGTGYTGCAAATTTTGCCACTGAAAAGAAGTGCAAAGGGTTTGAAAWACCAATAAATCTGTGAAAATTATTTTGCTGATAAATAACTTTTGCTAATACCATTTTCAGTGAGGGGGTTAAAGTGCAGAGTTCTTAGATTTGAGAGCCGTGCAAATGACTTACCTTTCCACTTGCTTTGCCTATGTAAAATGTATGATTTATTCATGCTCTCTTATCTGCTACAGYGTATTGCAAATGGGTAGGAAAACAAAAACAAACAGCACTCTATTTGCTTACACGCAAGAATGTTGCTGAGGGAGGAATTATACTGATTTTCTGTCATACTGTGGTGCCCTTAGGATCACRGGATAATTCAGAAAGGGACTCCAGGAGGTCTCTAGTCCAACCTCCTGCTCAAAGCAGGGTCTGCCAGGAGGTCAGACCAGGTTGCTCAGATTGTCAACCATTTGAGCCTCGTTGTTTGGTCCTRTTAAGAAACTCCTAATTAATGACCTTTGATCCTCTGCTGAGGAAAGTTGGTTTTATTTATCTTTTTTATTTTCCACTGGTTTTGATGTTATCTTTAGTACAGTGCTTGTACTGGCCTGCATGAAATTGTGGTTATGAAGTGGTGATAGTGATTGGAGTCTTCACACAATCACATACTCCTCAGAAAAATACAATCAATGAGAAGGTTGTTCTGGTCAAAAGCTGGTATCTCCAGTGGACAGAGCTGCTGCCAAAGCASGTGGTGGTCCCAAGGTCCCTGGTCTAGATGGAAAACTGCATTTACTTCCAAGTGGAGGTTCATCTACTACCCACTGTGGGAATCTCATATTGGTTCTCAGCTGAGTTCTCTTCCTTGGAACTGTTTATACCTTTACTTCCTTGTCCTTGTCTTTTCTTCCCAAACTTTTTTCTTTTTTTTTTTTTTTTTGAATCTATTTTATTCCTGCTAACATGATGGCAAATTTTTTAGTTAACACTTTAAGCTACTTTAGCTCAATCTTGTAAGACTTGCTGTTGACTTCGGAGGGAATGGACAAAAGAGCTTGACTCCCTTTTTGTTTGCTTTATGGCCTTTCTGATGAGGAGAGCTGACGACTAGGCCGGCGGCCTCCTCTGCATTCGTTTCTCTGTCCCTGGTGAGCACATGTGAATTGAGAGAGCCCTCAAGGAGAACTCCTAGCCAGACTGGTGGCTCCTTAAAATCCCTGTATTAGTCTTTATCRTTTAGTCTATCATATCTGCAATATCTCCCTCTGTTAGAATTCTCCTTATTTTCCTCTTGGAAAAAGCAACCAGTTTATGGCAGTTTATGAGTCCAAGTGCATACGTAGAATAACACCTTGCCACTTTGTGTCATGTAGGGAGAAGTCCTTTTAACTATGTATATATTTATACATAACTGTATATTTAACTATATATTTAACTTTTTATGAACTTCTGCAAGTTTCATAACTAATTTTTCTTTGCTGTTTTTCTCTTGCTTTTCAACTATTGGTCTTTTTCCAGCTTCACAGACCTGGTGTAGTGTTAAAAAATTATTTATTTATTTATTGCGACTTGTTCCATCTTATTTGACTAATTTATATATAAATATTTGACTAATATTTGACTAATATATATATATATTTTTTAAATATACGGGCAAATATGTATTTTCTCCTTTGAACGCTTTCTGAGGCTGCATTGTTTTTTTCATTTATGTCTGTATTCTGTATCTGAATAGCAAAGTTTGAGATCCTTGGCATATGATTAGAATTAAAAGACTTTCTGCCAAGTGGAAAGGTCAATTGAGTCTGAGTCTCCTTTTGAGAAAAAAATGCAATTATCATAGAATCATTCATTCTTAGAATCATAGTTTTGGGCTGAATTTGCAGTAGTGGTGGGATGGAAAGATGTATATTTCTTTCTCCCTGCCTCAGTTTTCCTGTTTTTCTGTCAGTCCACTTACAGCTTGTCTGTCTTTTGGCACATGGTCCAGGCCTGTACGTGGTAACTTAATAGTCATGCATCTTATAAACATCACTGGAAGAACAAACATTTCACTGAGCATGACCAACAGTAGCCATCAGCACTTATCAGTATCAGTGATTTAAATTGAATCAGATTTACTTTGCCTTTTAAAAATAGTTTGTATGGGTATTTTTACATGCCTGGGCAAAGCTGTGACCTTAAGGTGTTGCTTTTTCTCTTGCTACTGGCCCTTCATGATATCAGATGATAAAGAATCAGAGAGATTCGTTCTTCTAGCACAACCCTCTACCCCYTGGCAGCATTTTCCTGATATCAGCATCTCCCTGGCAGGCCACAGGCAATCACAGCACTTGCTTTGAAGTTGCCCATGAGCTCGGTCCRTAACTGGGTATTCTAATGGACTATCCATTATAACTTTTCATATCCCTTAGTGAACCTTTGGTCATTAGATCATTGTGTATTTTTCCTGGTCAGTGTACAGCATCAAAATACATTTTTGAAGAGATCAAGCATGTTTCTTTCTTTCCTTTCTTTCTTTTTTTTTTTTTTTTCTCTAAGGGAAAACCATATATAAATTATATGTAGCTTTTCTTTTTTTGAGATACCTTGAAATTTCTTAGCTATTAGAGATATTTTATTGAGATATTTGCAGATATGTTTTCAGGTAAATTTTCTTACAAATTTGTAAAATTGTAGAYACAGGTTATTGTTGAATTCCTATATTTCTGAGTGGTTGGAGGGTGCACACTGTACATTTCCAGCCAAGTAGTTTTTTGGAAAAGTGAACCTTGAATGACTAATYTTCTATTARTTTATGAAAAAAATCCTTCATTATTTATTAAGGATTTGTAACGTAATATTTATATTTTGCTTAAAATATGTCATTTAAAGTAACCTACARTGTAAATATTTGAGATATTACATGTACTGCAATGTGTGGCTAWAATTCACTAATTGAAAAAAGGTCTGCCAGAGGAACTTTATTTGGATATTAAGAGCCTAATGATGACATGACTTACAGGTTTCATGAAAAACTGTATTAGTCTATGTATATTTAATGAAGTATGCTCTATTTTTCTTAGTATGAAAATCTCTTTATTGATGAACTATAAATCAAAAGCTAAGTTAGAGTCTTAAAATACAATAGCCATATGTTGCCATGGTACTGTAAGTCAAGATAAATGTTGAAGATAATAATGGATATGCATAATAAGGTGTAGCAAAACTGTATGAAGAACCTAATAGAATATTGAATCTTACATGGTTTTTATTACTTTCTACTGCTATTTTAAAATAGAGGAGACTGGCTATAGTATGAATTTTGCGTGTGGTATCCAGTAATTTCTTTCTTTTCTTTCTTTCTTCCTTTTTTTTTTTTTTTTTTTTTTTTTTTCTTTCTTTCTTTCTTT